GAAATAAAATAGATTTGCACACTTCTTACCTTGATGCACATAATAATTTATTTAACTGAGTTATTTCAAGCCTAAAAGAAAGGTCTTGTAATTGTAGGATTGTGTCAGGACATTGCCATTCCTGATGTTAGGGATGGGGATGATGGCTGGTCACCCAAGAGGGTGGGGGGAGTGAATTGTTCTAATGAAATGATAAGCTGTAGGGAGTGACAGCAGTCAATTAATGTGCACAAGGCTTTACAGAGTTCAACCCATCAGTTCACCAGCCATCCTGGCTGGAATTGATGAGTCAGGAGCTAGATATAATCTGGAATAATGAAAAAAAAAAAAAAAAAAAACCTTCAAAATAATACACCAGACAAAATCACATAAGGCTGAGTCACAGAAGTTTGGAGCAGTGATTTCAGTTTACTATATACAAAAGTACAAAACAGTAAAAATTGAAAACAAATAAAAGGAAGTAGAACGACCAAGTCCACCTTCCACAATTATGCCAATTACTGTAGCTACTTTCCCCATATCACACAAATATACAACATRATTTAAAGTTAATGTGGTCTACCACATTAATTTAAATTCTACTGTATTTTCTCAGCTAAATTTAGTCAACGTGTAGGCCATTTACTCTACAACTGCTCATTGTCGGTAAAAGGATTTTAAAAAATAGCTGTGAAACTGCACCATCTTGCGGATTTTAATAAGAACGTGCAAAAAGCAAATCCCTATAAATCACGATTTGCGCACAAGTTATGCGTTATGCCATTGTTGTCTTCATAAATGTGCTTTTTTATTTTTATTATTTTATTACACTTGTAAACATTGCATTTTTTTCGCAAAGCAACGATATGTACGAGACGGCAATGCTCTAAACACTGGGGATAGTTGAAGCWTTTAGAACATATTTAACAAACCTTATTTAATTAAACGTACATAACGAATTACTTGAAGGTAAAATTCGGCGGACTCAGTTGCGTCTAATAAGGGGGCGGAGCTTCGCGCTTGTCGGGTTCCCCTCTGTAAATCCGTCTGTGTTATGGGTCGTTTCAAACGGGAAGCAAGAGAACAGGCCCCYACCTCTGTTGAGGAAGTGAAATGATAACAACATCATAACGACGCAGGAAGCCGGGCTGTTTCTCTCCGAGGAGGACTGGACAACATGCCGTCGCAGCGAGTGTTCGCCGTGCCGAGGCAGCAGTCTCTGCTCCTGCCTGAGGTCCACAACCCGTTTGTTCAACACACCGAGCTAAGCAAAGCTGCCATCATTAAAGTGAGTATGTGTTGACTTTTAAGTAAGACTCAGAAGGAGTGGTTCTCGCTTGCAACACAACACTCTCAGTGTTTCAGACGTGTGAGGACACACACACACACACACACACACACACACACACACACACACAC